TGAGTACCTGTATTTAAAACACGGAGGGGGTGGGTAGCAAGAAAAGCCTCTAACTGAATGCCACGGGAATCATAGTGAGACCTCCCCCAGAGGAAATGGGCATTAAAATCGCCAAGTAACAGAAGTGGTGGAGGTAATGACGAAACAAGAAAGGCAATATCTGGGATAGATAATGCCCGAGAAGGAGAGAGATACAAAGAACAGAGTGTATACCACCTATGCAAGTGGATACGGGCTGCTGTGTAATGAAGCGAAGTACGAACAAATAGCTGATGGTATGGAATATCAGTGCGTAGAAGAAGGGCACTTTCATTAAAGGTCCCATCAGGAAAGGGATCTGAAGAATACAATAAATTATAGCCTGAGATAGGATAGGTAACGGCAGAGTGTAATTTTGGTTCCTGTAAGCAAACACAAACAGGGGAAAACTGGGAGAGCAACATCTGAAGCTCACCTCGATTACCCCTGAGGCCGCGAATATTCCATTGTAAATAGGCCATGATTGGCAACGATAAAGATACCTGAAATCCGCAGGTAAGAGTACCTACGGACTAGAGGGGTTAGAAAAGTCCACATGCGGTGGCAAAGAAAAACGTTCAAGTAGCGAAGGAACGGTGCGTTGTAAAGAAAGGAGTTGCGCAGATGGAGAAGAGGAAAGAGAAGGAACAGATGGTGGATCAGTGTCCATTGATGGTTTGGTCTCAGCAATATATTCAGAGATTGCTTCAAGTGTTTTGGAGTTCAGAGACGTCATATGGGAGACAATATTGAAGATGGAAGGAGGAGGAGTTTGAGTAAAGATCGGAGTTGTAATGGACTGTACCAAGGTAGGGGGGGGGGCGAAAGGGTGGAGGGAACTGGAGAAGTGTGGGAGGGGACAGAAGAGGCAGAAACCTGGGAGGTGGCAGAAGAGAAAGAAATGTGGGAGGGGACAGGGGAGGAAGGCACAGTACGAGGAGGAGGATGAACCTCCACACTTGTAACAGAGCTAGTGAAAGGGGAAGACTCAGGTACAGAGACCAGGAAGGTAAAATGTGGAGGTGGATGAAGAGAAGAAGGGGTTAAAGGAGATTTTTTGGGCCTCTGAGAAGTAGAGGGACGATTGGGAGGAGGTGTCGTACGAGGTCTTGTCGATACCGGGGTTTGTGAGGGAGGACACAAAGAAGTGAGGACAGACTGAGGAGTTGAAGTAGGGACGTCTGAGCCCAGGACAGCAAAAGAATTAGATACAGGAGTGACTATGAGACTGGCAACCGCAGAGGAGGCTGCAGAAGATGGGACCCCAGAAGTGGGGGGACATTTTGAAACACGAGAATAAGAAACACGGGGTAGTCTCCCTTGGAGGCCGAGATGAGAAACTCCCTGAAATCCCTTCATAAATGTTACCTTGCCTACACTCCAACAGCACGTCAAGTCCTAAAAACCACTTGTCTCCACTATTATGGGCTAGTTGACTTCAATAGGGCAATGAGGATATTAATAATTCAAAAAGTAGAAGGCTACGGTTGGGGGGGGGCTTCAAAGATGGGCTGGGTGACTTCAATAGGGGAATGAGGATATCGTCAAGTGCTTTATTAAGGGTTCATTAGCTATGGGAGCATCAAAGGTTTTTCGTTCCAACTGAGCTGGAGTTTTTATCATTTGGAAATTACCATTTTTCGAAAAATGGCCTATCCCATACAATGGAGACATGGAATTTCATGAGGACATTACCATCATCACAGAGAGGCCCATCAGATGTTTTATATGCGAGTTTAAGTAGATATGTCAGGAAACAGGACAAGTGTTTCTTGACGAGGGTCTTAATCATATGAAGACCCCAAGCTGGAGATTTTGGTCAAATGACTGAGGCTAGCCAATATTGTTATGAGGTACCCTGAAGCAAAGAAGTTCCACACCACGATTCCAAATATCGCACTGTGGTTATGGTACGTGTATGATATTTGATGCTGTACTGAAGCCTTCAATATTCAAAACTTCCTCAAATTAACGTTACTGAGCTTACCACCAAATTTACTTTAAACCTCAAGGAAGATTACCAACTCCCTTTATAGGTGTCCCGTTATGCAGGACACTCAACATTAACACAAGGTAACCCAATGCACTTCTATTCACAACATGCCACGCACTTCGAGAGGAGTAGTGATTCTTTTGAGAGCCTTCTGTATATCTAGCTAGTCGCCACCAGAAAGCAGCCTACTGCTGCTTTCCCGGTATCTACAACTGGTGTCTTCACAATCCAGTATGGACGCTGCGATATGAAGTACGTGAAGAGACTGGCAGAAGTGTAAATATTAGGATTAGCAAACATAAATGCGCGTGTGGCAAGGGTGATCAAAGTAATAACTACATGATGCATAGAGGCATTGAGGGACATTTCATGAAATAGAACAGAATCCAGCTTGTCATTGAGCCAGATCTGGAGACGCTAGTTTTTAGAAGCACACCTGATAGCGGTAAGACTTACAGTAGTGCAAAACCCATGAAGTTAAAACATATCAGTGTCACACTGGTAAACAATCCTTCCTGAATACACTTTATCCTGCCCACCTATGGTCATAATCTTCGTTTTTAAGGGAGAGGAGGGGGAGAAACCGGTAAGCTAGCGGAAGGCCTTGGTCAGATTTGCGGATCATGTGACTAGGACCCGCGTCAGGAAACAGTAGTTCTGCTTCCTGAAGAATCTTGCCTTACATAATCCTCACATTTATCTCTGACTATACAAACCCATGTTTTTGATGCCTCATGTATATATGGAGTGAACAAAGTCCCACGTCTGACACCTAACACTTTTAAAATGCCCTGGAATGTTGCTTCACGTGTGTGCATATACCAGGTTTTCCCTTGAAACTGATAAACGTTCGAATAAGATTTTTATTTTAAATAACTCGACGTTAGTAAACGGATGGATGATGTAGTAGTCCTTCCACACACCAGTAAATTCACGATCTTTGTCCGAGTTCCTATCTCTCTCCCCCCACTTATTACAGGAGAGGGAGGGAAGGGATCCAGGAGGTAGAACCCAGGTAGAATGGGAATCAGAGTTAGCGTTCACCAATAAGGATCCGGGAGCAAGAGCCTTAAAGGGTGGGCCGCACCCTAAGAGTTTACGCCCCATTTTTTCTCAGCTTGTTCCCTTGCCCACTCAGGTAAGGACCCACGAGGAGCGAGTGAGAAATGGGGATAGCAGAGCAATAGTGTTGAAGAGGAAGAGCTAGAAAGGAAAGAAATAGACGATGGTAGGCGACCCAACAGCGAGGCATTGATACAAAAACAGAAAATGTTACAGCAACATCCACCCACTAAGTGCCCACGTTGCCAACCCTGAACGAAGCAATGCTAGAGAGGCAGCCCCACTGCCGTTAATTAACTCTCTCTGCGACCCACAAGAGTCGACTAACTTTAAGGTATATATATTCACTGCTGGAAGAAATCACAAACGCATGATCGCAAATGTATATAAATACCACAGTGAAAACAGAAAAAACAGAGCGTTTTAGTGTGCTTACACACATCTTCAGAGATATGTAAGCAAATGAAAGCGTTCGGGTGTTTTTCCCATTTTCACATATTCAATGCTAAGTAACGGATGCAAGCTAGTGCACATGTTCTTTTCCGTCCCAAATTAGACTCTGATCCTTTTAACTGGCATATTAATATTCCACCTCTGCGCCTTTTAATAAACCAAAAGACACATGGAAAAAATGGGAAGGGGAAGAATTAGGTTAGAGCAATCAAAAAGGATGTGGATAGATGGGACGTACGAGGTGAGATAGGTAAAATGGCCTGACCACTTTGGGTTGATTTTAAGGAAGTTGTTTCGTCACGGTGACCAGCTTCGAGGTTGGTAACAATGCACAGGTGGGGAGAGGCTCAAGGGGATGAGGGGGAGAGTAGGAAGTTATCTGTGAAATTATGACTGCTTGGAGAGGTAGTGTTGGCAGAAAAACATTTAATACAATAGGAGGAAAAGTGTGTTCGTTGCACTTCAGTGAGTGAGGCCAAGAAGAAAAACAGCGAGGAGGACGAGAGAATGGTGAGCGGGCAAGAAGGGAGAATGATAGGGAGGGCGAGAAGGGGAAATGGAGGGGAAACAGGGGGAATGATGGGAAGGGCAAGATAGGGGAATGATGGGGAGGGCAAGATGGGGGAATGATGGGGAGGGCAAGATGGGGGAATGATGGGGAGGACAAGAAGAGGTAATGATGGATCAGGGCAAGATGGGAGAATGATGGGGAGGGCAAGAAGGGGAAATAATGGTGCAGGGCAGTTGGACGAAACTGGGTGGTATCTGTTCTGTTTGTTAGTATGTATTTATAAATATATCTGTTAATGCTACGTATTTCTATTATTCGGGGTGGGTAACACTTAACCCGCTGGAGTCATACAAAGAATGCAGAATAGGATGCACTGAGGCTCAATCCAAGGAAGGGGGAAGATATGTCCAGTTTCCTGGATGAACTAACAAGAAACATAAAATTAAACACAAATGTACTGTATATTTTAGTTTATAAGAGTTTCCTCACTTGCATGATCATGCGACAGAAAAATAACCGGTAATCCTGCCAGAGTACAAATTATATAAAAGGATTCCTTTTATGTAACATGACTATGCACTTATGGGTAGGAAAAGAAGGAACTAGTTTGGTTGTGTATCAGCTGTACTGCATCAGTTCTTAGGCACTGAGCTACAGCTATTGGTTCTGTTTCTCTCTGCTGCATGATTCTGCTCCATCCGAGCCGCAGGCTGTAACACTACCGTGACGTCAACTCGACAAAATAAGGAAAAATATTTCAAAATGTTTCTTTCCTCTAACCCGTAATGCTGTACTTAACTTAGTAAGGGACTTTTGTAAGTGTCGAGCACTGGTTGTCTTAAAACCCTAATACAGCATTCCCTTCGTTGGTTTCTGTATCTCATTACTCCCACCTTCACAACTACAAGTACCAGCAATATAATCATTCTCAAATCTTTTATCCATTTTTGTATTCCAGTTAAGTGAATGTGAATTTACGTTCCTCGGCGAAAAATTCCTCAACAACTGAAACATATACAATACATTGATCCACACACTGATGTAACCAGGCAACCACTGCAGGTCTGGCAATATTCACGGTACTCTTATCTAACACGGACAAACTGGTTAAGTGCAGTTCACTTGGAATACTGTATAGAATATGGTGAATGTATTTGCTTATACTACAAGTGCACGATGGTGGCAGAGGCGAGCTCTGTTGTTGATGTTGGTACCACTGGTGGGTCTCCTCACAGCTCTGCACGAACACACAGCTCCGCAGCTACCTCAGAAACCAAAGCAAATAATGTTTTCTAGAGAGCGCCACTCTAATTCAAGACGCAGTATTATCTTGTGGACTATGATGCGTTCAGGGTCGTCTATGATGGGGGCTATGCTCTCTTCCTTACCCTGTAGCTTCGTCACTGAGGAACCCCTCCGGGAGTACAAGAACTTCAACGATACATTTGCCCTCGCTTTTCTGCGAGACATTCTCCACTGCCGTTTCTCCAAATACCCGCATTATTTTGAAAAATGGATGTTTGGCTATCAGCTAAATGACTTGAAAATTAAGGAACTGTGTGATCAATACGCAAGCGTGTGCCAGGACGCTGCTTGGACGGAGAGTATGTGTAACGGAGCTTGTATAATGGTGCTGAGGGTGGTGGCAGGAAAACTGAAGCTGGCCACATCTCTCCTACCGGACTCCACCCTCAGGAGCTACGTGGTGCACCTGGTAAGAGATCCTCGTGCTCTCCTAGCCTCCAGGTACAGCCTCGAGAAACACACCGAAATGTTACAAGAGAATGCTACTTTCTTCACCCACCAGGAGAAGAATCCAGCAGATGTCTGTAGAAGGTATCGTCAAGACTTGTCTAGTGCCCGTTTCCTACACCGTCACTACCCTCACAGGTAAGCAGCAGTTGATATTATACTCGCATGTAAGCGCCTGTTGTTACTTTCCTTTTCACTCACAGGTATATGGCTGCAGCTTCTGTTCCTTTAATCAGCAATACACAGCTACCACATTCTCTTTGAGTTACATTGTGGGAACTAAATATAGCTATGTTACCTCACCATATTCCATCACAGAGTGGATTTTATAGCGTTGAAATGTGTCAGCCTGAGATGGGAGACCCAAGCAGCGAAATGAGGATATCGTCAGGCATTCCACTAATGGGTCAGTAGCTACTGTAGCTGCCAAGGGAATCGTTCCAGTTAAGCTGAAATTACTACTACTTGAGAATCGCTCTCTCAGGATTGTCTATCCCACACAGAAGTGATGAAATAAATAAAAATATCTCCATCACAAAACGAGACAGCCATATTTTATTTAGCAGAAGAGTACTGATCTACATTTATGCATCTATCAATATATCCATATAGGCGCAGTGCACATTCTTTGTTGCAATTAATGCCCTGCAACATCTTGCTTAACATTATGAAGTAATCATAATTTAGTTTTAGGTTTACCCAGGTTAAGTTTGGGCAGGGCTATGTTGCATTATATAAAAATACATCTGTCTAAATTCGGTTGAGTCTCTCGGCTAGTTCGTAAAACACAAGACATTGTAAATTTGAGGGTAGCTCAAAGTCCATGAATCAAGAGCCCTCACCAGCATCAACACACTCTCCTTGAAATATGACCGTATTATAATACAGCAAAACATAGCTACATAACCTTGTTAAAAATTTACGCAAAATTAGCTTATATGAAAGAATATAAGAATCTTCATGAGTACATTTTACTGTTTTCCTGGTGTGTAAACTTTGGTGATCCCAGTAATTAATGAGCTCACTCACTCGCGCGTGCGTGTGTACGTATTATTATATACTATACACATATATTACACATGAATTACAATATTTTACAATTATTTACATTGGTAAATTTCTGGTTATGTATTGCATTTCGGGGATTTGAATTTGGTTCTGGTTTTGACAGATGGCACACATGTGATACCACTAATAAGACTTATTGTAATATTTTCTTTCCCTCCTTTCCATAGATACATACTGATAAGGTATGAGGATGTGGCCCTGGATCCATCACGTTACGTGCGAAGCATCTATAACTTCACAGAACTTCCTTACATCAAAGTTGTAGCTCATAATGTAGCCACCCTCACCCTCGGAATGTATGACGACGCATTTCAATCGCACCCCTACTCCACAAACAAGAACTCCACTGAGGTCGTCTACCGGTGGCGCACAAGTCTGCCTTACTCCGAGATGGAGAAAATACAAGCCGAGTGTCACGATGTTCTACAAGCTTATGGCTATCCAGTTTTTGCCTCCAAGACTGAATACGAGTCTCAGTTAACTAAAATTCTTCCTCTTAAAGCAGTCACGTGGTAGGTGAACACTACTATTACATAAATTTTGAACATGGTTTCACGGTATGGGTAAAAAAACTGGTGTAAAAGACTGAAAAAGGTAACATGAGAATGATAAGGGTGATAAATTTAGGCCAGGAATAATTTCAGCAAAAAAAATTCTTTAACACTTATTATACCGTATACACAAATAATAGTTTTAATTTATCTGCTGGCATATACACGCACCTAGAATTCGGTGAGAAATAATTGTTTAAATTTAGCTAACTACAAATACTGTATTTCACATTATAATATGGATTATGTACATATATATATATTATATATTATATAATATTTAAATATATATATTATATATATATTATATATAATATATAATATATATATTATATATATTATATATATATATATTATATATATATATATAATATATATATTATATATATATATATATAAATTATATACATAAATATATAAACAAATATATATACATAAATATAAATATATATACATAAATATAAATATATATACATAATATATAAATATATATACATAAAATATAAAATATATATACATAAATATATATAAATATATATACATAAATATATATAAATATATATACATAATATATATAAATATATATACATATATATAAATATATATACATATATATAAATATATATACATATATATAAATATATATACATAAATATATATAAATATATATACAGCTACAAATTTTATTATTAGCACTGGTTGTGAGTGTGCAAGTGATGCTGTTTACTTCTGAGGTGAAACAAAACAGTTTATTTAAAGCATAACAGTTACGACTACCAGTTCTACTACTAGTAATAATGAAAATATGTAAATATTTATATATGACTTCTGAAGAACTGACACATATATATTCATATTAGATTACGTGTTATCATTACCACTATTAATACAGATAACTTACTAGATTAGAATATCATTTAATTAGAATTTCATTCATCTGGCCGGTGCAAAGTGTGGACACAGTCAAGACATCAGATGTCCTATCCTTTGAAATGACGTGATGTAACATTTCCTATATAAATTATTTGTACCTGTCTCTAAATGACTGGATATTTGGACAATAAAACTTAGTACTGTATTAAAGCTTTGTGTTCTCAAACTTTTGAGGCCACTTATCCCCCCACTAATTCTTGTAAACTATGGCAGAGTCTGCACCCCCCCACCCACATTTGTCACTCAAGGCAATATTACAACCGCAAGCATCTTAATGCATATCCATTACATTAGTTATGAAAACGTCACGTGTTTACAGCTGCACGACACGTAGGATAAATGCTCATATTTCTAACAGCCAAAAATATGACAACTTATGAATATGAGTGATAATGCAAATCCATAAAAATTATATACATACAATAAAATGTTGTTACTGCTTACCTATCAATACGCTTGAAAGGCATGGATTCCAACACAAAGGTCAGGGAAGTTGGGAGCAATTGAGGATTGTTTCACTCTTAAAATCTTATTCGGCATCCATCCTCTAGCGACATTTTATTTTCATTGCTGACCTCAGAATATCCAGCCTCGCATACGTGTCACGCCATATAACCTCAATACACTAAAAGACTGACACGGAAATTTAAATTTCCTTGATTCAAAGTCGATAAAAATGTATGCCAGGTAGGCAGAGAAGTAAAACGGGTTATCCACAATAACTGCTGAACTCTGCATCTCGGTTCAGAAAGCCGGTGGTTCAGAAAGCCTGGTGCACTTCAGTGTGCACAAGTTTATGTTCGTTGCATAATCCTTCAATTTAGAGCACGAGCTTTAATGAAGTCTACCATTTTCAATGTATCATTCAGCATTTATAGTGATAAATGTTAGTAACAATTAGCACAACACAAGTGTCCGCTACGAGGGACGTCAGCAAACTGACTACCCAACTGTTGCACACAAATCTTGATTTATCTAGTTTAACATCCATAAAATCATTAGACAGGTTTTCAAAATATCCCAAATGATTCGTTTTGTTTATATTCTTAATAATAATATAAATTCGCAAACAGGCGAAATTATTTACAAACATTATTTCGCAGACCATTGCAGGATTCGAACCTGCAAACTCGGCATCAGAATACACAGTACTTTGTCCACACAGCCAGACTCCTGTAAGGTTAGCAGAGTTTAGCTAAAAAAAATTTGGTTAGGTGAGGTTTCTAAGTTAGGTTTGGTCCCAAAAAAATTTTTTTACATTACTGTCAATGAAAAATATATCTATGAACCTGTAAAAAAAAAAATCAGAGAAGTATAATTTATAGGGAGTTCGAACTATTCTGCAAGCTCGACTTATTGGGTACAACCCCGAGACCAACCGACCCCCCCCCCAAACACACACACACACACACAAAATCTCCTGCCACTAACGCAAAGCATAATGGAATTTGACAGAACAATATTAATGCAATATTTATGGGGAATAGATCAACATATACGTAAAGGTGATATACCGTTTAAGGAATTTAAGGCAAGTATACGTGATCCATGAGAAGGGTTGCTCCTATTCCTTGGATCAAAATCCCTTCACTAACATCAAAGAACATATTTAATAGAAGAACAATAGTACGAGGCTCATGTCCTACTGACTACTGCACATGTTCACCTAATGAACAATCAGTGCTCACATTAATGATCAATGCATTTAAATACGTCTCTACCCACCCTATGCCAACATTCAGCTTTGACCTTGACGTTGCCACACGGTGTATAACTCACGATGAACACTTACTCTGAATATACACTTGTATACAACAGCCAAGACATATCCAACGGGGAAGAAGTTTTTAATTTCACTCGTGGGGGAGCATTAAACTCCTAAGGGCCTTGAAGCACTAAGGGAAATAGTAGGCAATTGATTCGATTCAAAGAGCCTTGATTAAACCCACATCAAGGCATCTTCCCTGAAGGGTCTACCGATAACCTAAATTCACAACACTGCACTCAGAGACACAAACAACTTGCTACAAGCCGAGTGGTATTATTATGACAAAGTGAATACGAGAGCCTAGTCTACAACGAGTGTTCTGCCACCTAGTGTTACGATTTTAACTTTTCAAGACGGTGTTGTTGCATGCTATATTCTTCTAAAATTAATGTTCGTTTATTGGAAGTAAAACCTCTATTTTAAGTACATATTAGACAAAATTTTTTTTTTGATAATACAGGATTTCCTCCCAATTAAAAAACTGCATTATTAAATTTCCCTATATACCGAGAGGTGTACGTTTCTAAAGGTATTCAGTATATATTGAGAGTTCGCTTTAATACCTGTATTAAATATTAAAGTATTCTTGATTGGTGGTCAACAGATGACAATCAGACGTAATGACCCAAAATGTAGTTGATTGGATTTAAACCAAATTAAGACATAAACCTTGGTAAGGTTCGTCTCCCCCAAGACACAAACCATGATAACAGACACCGATCTATGGTTTATTAAGGACACGCGAGCAAACACTAGGACATATTTATTAGAAGACGTTTCCGAAGTGATCAAGGTCTCAGGACCGAAACGTTGTCTATGCTCAGTGCTTATGCTTTGAGCTTCTTTTTGATAATAATAATAATAATAATAATAATAATAATAATAATAATAATAATAATATGCCCAGTTTCCTCACCGTCTTTTTAAATCAGTGGTATTATTATAATAACTGGGAAGCACTAAACTCTTAAGGATCATTTAGGGCCTGGGAAATGATAGGTAATCAGTTTGGTTCGAGAAAGGGGAGGATAACTCAAATTTCTTGAATCAAAAGCCCTAACCTGCATCCAGATACCCTTCTTAAAGGATATTACTCATTATTACTCATAGGGGAGCGCTAAATCAGTAAAGGTTACACAACATTTGAAGGATGACCTCAATCTACAGAGAACTGTCACAGTCGTGTTTTCAAGCCACGATAAATTGAGCCAGCGTCAGGATGACGGGAGTCACGAGGGAGCATTCACCAAATTCAACTTCAATAACAAAAACATAAAGTGGGACCAAGTAAACCAAGTCCTAACCGATATAAGCTGGGAAGATATACTAAGCAACACAGACCCCAACTTATGCCTAGAACAGATTAAATTGGTGGCACTCGATGTATGCACAAGACTTATTCCTCTAAGAAAAAGAAGTAGATGTAAAATAGAAAAAGGGGGGGGGCAGTAATGGTTCCTATTTTATAGCCAAATCCAATCACAAGCCTGTCATAATATACAATACATACACACACACACATTATATGTCACACTAACAGCTAACAGTCAACCATGAATGTACACTTCTATATGTACAGTAGTCATCCAACGGTAAGGTATTTTATCATAGCTAAATTTGCAAGTCATGAAGCACCAGGGGAACTAGAGGCTATCTGATTCGAAACAACGGAGAATAAATATTTGGATCAGGATCCCTTCGCCGACATTAAGTACCCTCCCTAGGGCGGGGCATACACTGCATAGGGCGGGGCATACACTGCATAGGGCGGGGCATACACTGCATAGGGCGGGGCATACACTGCATAGGGCGGGGCATACACTGCATAGGACTTACCATTGTAATGCCCTGAGAATGGAAACCACATGTTAGCCTGTAATTTTAGTGTAAACAACAGCAAGATGCTTACCTAAACATTGCACTCCAGAAGACGCGATCTCCAAGCTCATCTTGCAGTGTTGTTTTACTAAACGTTCACTTAAACATGCCACTAATGTACACTCTGGGGCATTACAGCGACCTTTAACCGCTTAAACTGGTGCAATAACAAGTATACATGGGAGAACATCAGCCTGGTCCTCCCCCTCTGAATCTCGACTCCATCTGGCCGGCTGGAGTCACCACCACAGCACACGAAAATCCTCACTTTCACAATATATACAGTATTATTATCACTACGAGAAAGGACTCAACCCCTATGGGTCAAACGTCATCAGGTTCGATCCAAGGAACGGGGAGGTTAATTTCAAATCCTTGGATCAAGAGCCTTTTCGCCAGTATCAAGCGTCCATGTATAAGTTAAATTCGCTTATTCACAACACTTAACTCGGGGAGAAACACGACCATGCTGCCACGAAACAACGCAATTATATTATGAACAAGAAGTGAATACAAGAACCTAGTCTATGATGCTCGTGTCCTGCCACCTAGTGTAGTGATATTAACTTACTCAGAGAATGAAATACCTCCATATGAAACTGGTAGGTCGTGTACTGCAAATCGCG